AGTATAATTGGGCGACAGTGGAGAGTGCAGTATAATTATATGACAGTGGAGAGTGCAGTATAATTGATCGACAATGGAGAGTGCAGTATAATTATATGACAGTGGAGAGTGCAGTATAATTGGACGACAGTGGAGAGTGCAGTATAATTGGACGACAGCAGAGAGTGCAGTATAATTGGACGACAGTGGAGACTGCAGTATAATTGGGCGACAGTGGAGAGTGCAGTATAATTGGGCGACAGTGGAGACTGCAGTATAATTGGACGACAGTGGAGAGTGCAGTATAATTGGGCGACAGTGGAGACTGCAGTATAATTGGGCGACAGTGGAGAGTGCAGTATAATTGGACGACAGTGGAGACTGCAGTATAATTGTGCGACAGTGGAGACTGCAGTATAATTGGGCGACAGTGGAGAGTGCAGTAAAACTGGGCGATAGTGGAGAGTGCAGTATAATTGCGCGACAGCAGAGAGTGCAGTATAATTGGGCGACAGCAGAGAGTGCAGTATAATTGGACGACAGTGGAGAGTGCAGTATAATTGGACGACAGTGGAGAGTGCAGTATAATTGGACGACAGTGGAGACTGCAGTATAATTGTGCGACAGTGGAGACTGCAGTGTAATTGGGCGACAGTGGAGAGTGCAGTAAAACTGGGCGATAGTGGATAGTGCAGTATAATTGCGCGACAGCAGAGAGTGCAGTATAATTGGGCGACAGTGGAGAGTGCAGTATAATTGGACGACAGTGGAGAGTGCAGTATAATTGGACGACAGTGGAGACTGCAGTATAATTGTGCGACAGTGGAGACTGCAGTATAATTGTACGACAGTGGAGAGTGCAGTATAATTGCGCGACAGCAGAGAGTGCAGTATAATTGGGCGACAGCAGAGAGTGCAGTATAATTGGGCGACAGCAGAGAGTACTGTAGAATTGGACGACAGCAGAGAGTGTAGTATAATTGGACGACAGTGGAGAGTGCAGTATAATTGGGCGACAGCAGAGAGTGCAGTATAATTGGACGACAGTGGAGAGTGCAGCATAATTGGACGACAGTGGAAAGTGCAGTATAATTGGACGGCAGTGGAGAGTGCAGTATAACTGGACGACAGTGGAAAGTGCAGTATAATTGGACGACAGTGGAAAGTGCAGTATAATTGGACGACAGTGGAAAGTGCAGCATAATTTGACGACAGTGGAAAGTGCAGTATAATTGGACGACAGTGGAAAGTGCAGTATAATTGGACGACAGTGGAAAGTGCAGTATAATTGGACGACAGTGGAGAGTGCAGTATAATTGGACGACAGTGGAGAGTACAGTATAATTGGACGACAGTGGAGAGTGCAGTATAATTGGACGACAGTGGAGAGTGCAGCATAATTTGACGACAGTGGAAAGTGCAGTATAATTGGACGACAGTGGAAAGTGCAGTATAATTGGACGACAGTGGAAAGTGCAGTATAATTGGACGACAGTGGAGAGTGCAGTATAATTGGACGACAGTGGAGAGTGCAGTATAATTGGACGACAGTGGAAAGTGCAGCATAATTTGACGACAGTGGAAAGTGCAGCATAATTTGACGACAGTGGAAAGTGCAGTATAATTGGACGACAGTGGAAAGTGCAGTATAATTGGACGACAGTGGAGAGTGCAGTATAATTGGACGACAGTGGAGAGTGCAGTATAATTAGACGACCGTGGAAAGTGCAGTATAATTGGACGACAGTGGAGAGTGCAGTGTAATTGGACGACTGTCATAGGTTGCTATGTATTGTCATAGTTTGCTACGTACTCTCACAAGTTGCTACGTACTCTCACAACTTGCTACGTACTCTCACAAGTTGCTACATACTCTCACAAGTTGCTATGTACTCTCACAAGTTGGTACGTACTCTCACAAGTTGCTACGTACTCTCATAGGTTGCCACGTACTCTCATAGGCACTACGTACTCTTACAGGTGGTAGTTAGAGCACTTTCCCCCGTAAGATATTATTGAGGACAGACTACAACAGTGTATTATTTTGCAGCGTGAGGTGTTCCTGGCTAGCTATACAGAGTACAGTGTTATCAACTGTAAACTTATGAAACCGGTATGTATTAAAAAGGGGTGTAATGCATAGCAGGTCACTGATTTTTTGTGGAATTAATTGTAGCTGTGGAATTCCCAGTCCATAAACACTTCCATTTATTCTCAAACAAAATTTATGCACAAATCTTTGCGCAAAATTTTAAAGGGTCTGGAACTTTTGTATACAAGTTTATATAGTGTGTGTATGTTATTTCAGGATTAAGTTTCTCATAGTAATGTAATCACATAGTGACCATCTAATACTGGCAGATGTACATACAAACGCAAGCTATTTGTTTTATGCTATTTTTTTATGTACTGACTAACATTTCACTTACTAACCCAGTATTTGTGAAAACTGAATTCTTGAGTTCTACCCACTAGGGCGAAGCACATTAATTTATAAGAAATTTATGGATTTAAATAATATATCAGTATTTTTTTTTCATTGAGATCTGTTCTTGGATTTATAAGGATATAAGAAAGAAGAAACACTGCAGCAGGTCTACTGGCCCATGCGAGACAGGTCCAATTCTCCTACCGGTTTAAGCCCATGCCTTAACCTAGTCAGGCCAGTCACATTCACTTAAGGGAGGATCACGGCATCTGACCTAGTAGCACAAGCTAGTCAGGTCCAACTCACACCAACCTACACACACTCATGTATTTATCCAACTTATTTTTAAAACCACACAACGTCTTAGCTTCTATGACGGTACATGGGAGTTTGTTCCACTGACTGCTGATGACTGCTAATGACCCATTAGGGTTTAGCTATATTATTTTCCTTGTTCTTCAGTTAGTTGCTAGTGCTCCATTATCTTAGATATTATACTTATAGTGTTACGAGTATGGCCATACCCGACATTTTTTATACTAGGATGTGTTCCTTTATTTTATTATATATGTATATTAATAATAATATTGTATTATATTATGTTTTGTTAGGCTTTAATATTAAGTGTTATTTTCATGTAGTAGGAAACTACTAGGTGGAGCGCAAGTTACTAGCTCAGGTACTAGCCTGCCTCCCGTCATGTGATCCAACCTGACCTCAGCACTCGCTCAGAGTAGGTTCAGAAGCACTCGCTCAGAGTAGGTTCACAGCACTGACTCTGAGTAGGTCCTCAACCCATAGCCCCTTTAGCGCTCGGTTACATTGTTGCTATTCTATAGAATTCAAAGTCTCTGGTATGAGACGATTAACTATTGGAGAGATTGCTAGCTTAAGTAATCCCTAGAGAATGTTTCTCGAAAATAACTAAATAGGTTGCCTTGATAAATTATTTGTGGTGTGGTTATTTAATAATTTATAACAACTTAAACATATAATTATGTTCTTTAATGTGAAGTGTCACTAGGGGTCACATAACAGCTCCGAGAGTATGGGATTTCATTTTTAACCTGATTGCAGGATACGAAAAGGGACTTAATATACATATTAAATAAAGGTCTGAAAGAAGCGTCAAAAGTCATTATTTCCCTATTGTTATGAAATAAGGCCAGTAGTTGTAACAATAGTGATTAGCAGGATAAGAGAGGTAGGTGTGATTAACAGATCATGAGAAAAGAGCAGTATAGTGGAGTAATATATAGTGGAGTAATCAGGTGTAGTGGAGGATGGGACCATCCAGCAGCACAGGTTGATGTCACCTGATGCCAGAGTTTTGACAGTTTAAGATTAATCTTGCCTCAAGTTTAGTACAAGAGAATCTGAAGCAGGAATTATCGCAGGATTCAGGTACCGTCATATCTGCAGATCCTCCTTCATTAACATCTTGACAGCGCTGTTTCATATGATGATTTTGACTTGAAACTCTCACAGTAGTTTCAATCTGGCCTACAGATTTCTTACTTGTCAAATCCTTCATTGTGGCATCGGCAGTTATAACAACTCCGTCTCACGTTTAGAAACGATTTCGGTTGCTTCACTCTGGGAGAATGATGACACTATCCGAGACACAGTCTTGCATAACAGTGTTCATGACGCCAAGCACCCGTCTTTTAAAGTCAATAATGAAATGGGAAGGAAAGTCAAGTTTGGTGTGTCTCTAGAGAATGTGCAATACACTCTGTAAGCTCTCAAAAAGAAATCGATGCTAAATCCTTGTTTAGCCTTAGTTTCGTGGTCCGAGAAGACGCGCATCACGTCATGTTGTATCAGGTACATGTAGAAATAATAATAATAATAATAATTATTATATAGCTGGTCCCAACATGCAATCAAATTAAATTTCTCATATTTCAAGATTACAAAAAAAAATATTTATATAAAAAAACAGCTAATGTTGGAGTGGCTGTTGTACTTTTATCAGATCTTAAGGGCCCATTCGTATGTGTGCTTGTTAGCAAGCTGGCTCCAGCATGTACACACATTCGTACGTGTGCTTGTTAGCAAGCTGGCTCCAACTTATACACACATTCGTACGTGTGCTTGTTAGCAAGCTGGCTCCAGCTTGTACACACATTCGTACGTGTGCTTGTTAGCAAGCTGGCTCCAGCTTGTACACACATTCGTACGTGTGCTTGTTAGCAAGCTGGCTCCAGCATGTACACACATTCGTACGTGTGCTTGTTAGCAAGCTGGCTCTAGCATGTACACACATTCGTACGTGTGCTTGTTAGCAGGCTGGCTCCAGCTTGTACACACATTCGTACGTGTGCTTGTTAGCAAGCTGGCTCCAGCTTGTACACACATTCGTACGTGTGCTTGTTAGCAAGCTGGCTCTAGCATGTACACACATTCGTACGTGTGCTTGTTAGCAGGCTGGCTCCAGCTTGTACACACATTCGTACGTGTGCTTGTTAGCAAGCTGGCTCTAGCATGTACACACATTCGTACGTGTGCTTGTTAGCAAGCTGGCTCCAGCTTGTACACACATAGACACATTTTTTAAGTCTAAATTACAATTAATACCAGTAATACATACCTGGTGTGACAAGCCTGATCTATCGTGTGTGAAAATAAAGTCGCCTCCTTGGAATTCGTCGTTCAGGTACAACAAAGCACTGGGGGAAAAGACCATCAAGAAAATATGAGTATGTTGTCTTTATTTGTAGATATTAATTATAAAAATTCCACTTCAAGTGTGAGAAGAAAGTAATAAAAGTTGGATATTAGTTTGTTTTAATTAAAAAAGTTTCATTTGAGCGAGAGTTAATAATATGTCCGATATTTTTACTACGATATTATTGAAAATTTATTTGCCAGCATGACATTTATAAGACCCCGGAACGTTCTATGTTACCATAACAGGCAATGACACTCATTCTTTCTCAGAACCATGATTAAATTGATCAATATTTATTTATCTGATCAACAAGGTGATATTATCTTTACATTCAATTGATAACCAATCATAGAATATGTATCCAATAAGTGCATACATATTCATAATTATTTCGATAATGACACATACTTTAGATAAGACAGTTATTGCAAATCAATTTAGATTTTTTTAAATATTTTCAGCAGGAGTATATATATATATATATATATATATATATATATATATATATATATATATATATATATATATATATATATATATATATATATATATATATATATATATATTATATATATAAACACTAATCTCTGGTTGAAGGGGGCTCGAACCTTGGAACAAGGTACGCATTGCTTTAACCACCGTACCAATACCGTAGCGTCCAGCCAACGCTAGACGTTTTGATCCAAGGCAGCTAGCATTCAGGCACATGGTGTTAGCTATTTCATCTCATCCCCTGCATGCATCGACCGACGGGAGATTTTTACAATATATATATATATATATATATATATATATATATATATATATATATATATATATATATATATATATATATATATATATATATATCAATAACAACACTGCACTAGCCAAGGATTCGAACCCATGTTGTACTGGCCTGCCTCATGGTAAGCGAGAACCACATGACGCTTCAAACCACAGGACCACCCAACCCTACAAGATTAGCGCAGCCAGCACACAGCTAGCTGTTGGGCCACCATCCGAGGGCATACGGAGGTGTGAGAGCTTCTAAGCTAATTTCATTCTCTTCCCTGTTTGGTGTACTAGCCTCACGAGCAGCATTTATATATTGTTGTAACCACAACGAGTGGTAGTGTGTCTACTATTGTTCTGTTGCCCTTGTTGCATTCTTCTCATGGCCTCCTGTAGTTCTGTGGCAGGGTGTACAATTACTACAATTACCACCTTATGGCCCTCAGACTAAATTGTTCCTACTATGTAGCCCCTTTTGCCCATTCCATCCATTCCTTCCATTTCCTCAAATCACCACCGGTTTTGAATTAGTAGTGCATCCCCTCCTCCCCCCTCTGTTCCCTCTATCTTTCCTCAGGATTTGATAACTGGGTGGAAAGAATGCATCTGTTATCCTGGTGAGTTTCAATTCTGTAAGTGTTATTATGTCTGGGGATGTCTCCTTGATTCTTTCATGCCACTCCTCACATTTATTCAGTCTGCATTTGTATACCAAACCTTCAACTTCTTTTCCAAAACTGTGATCTGGGGGGTACACTGGGGTTGGGGAAGCAGGAGACCTGCTGAGGAACTATGGGTGGTTGCTGTGGAGGTGGAGTTTGAAATGAGGTGGGTGGGAGCATTGGGCATGGCATGTGTACTTTGGGTTAGAATGTTTGGTTGCATTGGGGTTGTCCTGGTTGGGGGGTTTCTGTAGCTGCGAGGGAGGTTGTATTTGATCTTCCTCCTGAGTCTGGATTCTCCTGTCCATTTCCATCTTCACCTCTCTTCCCTCCTTCTGCCTTTGTACCCTCTCTTTCAGTTCTTGCCTTTCTTCTCGTGTTCTGTTGTGGTCGAGATACACCCTCTGGTATGCTTCCTCCTGCAGGATCCTGTTTCAAGCTGCTTCTGCCTTGAAAATCACTCTGACCAGCCGGTGTCTTCCTTTTGCATACCCCCCTATTCTCAGAAAATTTGCCAGCTGGGTCATGTCATGTTCTCCTATTGCTTTCATGATGCTTTCAATCACTTTTTTCTCCCCTTGTCTTCTTGCTTTGTAAGTTTCCCCTTTAACTTCCTGAAGCCCATAAACCAAGACTGATCACTCCCTTTCATTCTGCCACTGCATATCTCCTATATTATCCCTGATTTGATTTAGCTGCCTCCATTGCAGCTTTCCTTGCTTCAGTCTCTTCACTGTTGTCCCTGGGCCCAGAGGTCTGTCATTTTCCCTTTTCAGCTTTCCCTGGGCACTGTTGTGGTCTGTTAGGGCCTTTACATATAGCTTAGCTCTTTCAATTTCTACAGTCCCATCGATTGTTCCTGATGTGATCCTCTTTTTTTTTCTCAGACTCCACGATGATCTGATAGGGCCTCTGCATACAGTTTCGCTCCTTTGTTCCCTACAGGCCCCTTGTTTGTGACTGAGGTAACAGTTTCTGATGTCATGCCTGCATTGTTCTTTACTTCTTTAGGCTGTTTCAGATTTTTCAATTCCTCAGACTTCCTCTACTAATCTCTGAATCTGCTGCTGTGACTTGCACTCAGCAGCTATCCTCTCTAAGCTCTTCTAGCTTCCTTTCCCACTCATGTTCCCTTTTCATGAGCTCTGCTACCCAATCTTCCTTCCCAGACTGATCCTCCAGTCCCCCGTTTTTCCGTCCTGCTCTTAGGCAACCCCACATTTTTTTTATTGCCACAGAATGAAAAAAAAAACTTATGCATTTCTGTGTGGTTGTTTGCGATGTTTTTGTCTGAGTGTGTGGGGAGAGCAGAGGGAGGGAGAGGAGGAGGCTGGAGACAGTGGCAAAATGGGAGAGAGGTGGGGAGGTGGAGAAGGGAATATGGGGAGAGAGAGGGAGAGAGAGGAGGGAGAAGCAAAGGAGGAGAGAGAATGGGAGAGGGAGAGAGGGGTTAATAGAGAAAATGTGAAGGTAGGAAATCGATTCTCTGTTCTCCAGGACGAGTGCACTTCAGTGGTTAGTGAGGTTGAAGGTACCACTGATTCCCCTGCTAATCAAGGTAAGAATATTTTAATAGTAGGAGATTCTCAGGTAAGATATATGGACTGTGCTTTTTGTAACAGAGACAGAAAGGTCAGACAGAGGGTGTGCCTTCCTGGAGCTGGAGTTGGTGACATAGTTAGCAGGTTGGATAATATTATGTCAGGTAATGGGAACAAGCCCATTATCTGTCTTAGTGCTGGGGGTAATGACATTGGGAAGGGCAGGAGACAGCAGCTGCTGAATAAGTACAGGTCAGCCATAGAAGTAGTTAGGTCTAAGGGAGGGATCCCAGTCAAATGTAGCATCTTGCCTAAAAAGGGAGTGGGCAATGAATGGATGTCTAGGGCAATTGGAATAAATTGCTGACTAGACAGGTACTACAAGGAACTTGCAATGCCATTCATTGATAACTGGGGCCTATTCTTTGGCAAATGTGATATGTATGCAAGGGATGGGGTTCATCTCTCTGGGGATGGAGTGGTTGCATTAGCCAATTCGATTGAGAGGGTAATTGATGACTTGTCTAGGAATTTAAACTGATAGATTATAGACATATGGGTGTTTGTGGGAAACAATCAGGCAGTTATTACCGGGATACCTCAGGGATATGTTTAAAAGACAATATTCAAAATAAAGTTCCTAGTAATGGCAAATCAACTGATCAACAAAGAGAGATAGCAGAGGGCAAGAGTGACTAGCTCCCTTAAGGTTTACTATACAAATAGTAGGAGTTTAAGAAATAAGATAAATGAGCTAAGATTACTTGCAAGTGTAGGTAATATAGATATTATTGGTATAACAGAGACCTGGTTCAACCTGAAAGATAGAGAAATGCCTTCTGAATGCAACATACAGGGTTATAAACTATTCCACACTGATAGGGTCAATAGGAAGGGTGGTGGAGTGGCGATGTATGTCAGAGAAAATTTAAATTGTTGTCTTAGACATGATATAAGATTAGAAACATCGAACACAGAATCTGTTTGGCTACAGTTTCTCGAGGGTCGTGACAAATTAATTTTGGGTGTGATTTATAGGCCCCCAAACCTAGATAGGGAGTGCAGTAAGCTGTTATGGGACGAAATTCATAAGGCATCTAGATATGAAAATGTTGTGATAATGGGAGATTTTAACTTTAGACAAATTAATTGGAACAATATGACAGGAAATCTTGAGTCTAGTGGCTTTCTTGATACAGTTCAGGATTGCTTTTTAGAACAGGTTGTGACAGAACCAACTAGAGGAAACAATCTGCTTGACTTGGTTCTTGCCAACAAAGAATCACTAATTTATAATCTTGAGGTTAATGATGAGCTTGGGAAAAGTGATCACAAATCACTTAGTTTCAATATATCATGGAATTACCCAGATAACTGCAATCAAATCATGTCCCAGATTTTCGCTTGGCCGACTTCATGGGACTAAAAAATTACCTGGGTGGGCTAAATTGGGATGTCCTGACTATGGGTCAGGTAGGTGGTGATGGTTGCCAATATGACGTTTTTCAGAGCATAGTTTTAGCTGCCCAGACAACTTTTGTTCTGAGTATGGAAATTAGATCTAACAAAAATGATCCCAGATGGATGAACAATAGATTAAAACATCTCATTGGTCAAAAGAGAGGCATATATAGGAGTATCAAAAGAGGGGATGGGCAGTTAAGAAATCAATATAATAAATTTAAGAGAGAAATAAAGAAAGGAATAAGAAAAACAAAAAGGGATTATGAGGCTAAGGTCGCAAGGGATTCAAAGACTAACCTAAAAAGTGTTCTTTCAGGTATACAGAAGTAAGATTAAGGACAAGATTGGCCCACTTAAGAGTAACTTTGGTCAAATCACTGACAGTGATAGGGATATGTGTGAAATTCTCAATACCTACTTCCTCTCAGTTTTCACCCAGGAAAATACTAGCGATATTCCTGAAATAATAGATTACGTAGAACAGGATGGTAATAAACTGTGCACGAGTGCGGTAACTAGTGACATGGTCCTAAGACAACTAGAGAAACTAAAACCTA